GCTCGAAGGTTCATGGGTGCTGAACAGTTGGGTTGTAAGTACCCCAAGTAAGGTTATAAGTGATAACCATAGCTGCCTACGTATAACCCTCCTTACAAGTACCCATGAAACTCCAAGTATTGTGTTCTTCTCAGACAGGAGAAGTTTTCGAGGAACCCTTGACAATAGCAGGTTGGTCCTACACTCTAAACCCTAAACCCTAAACCCTAAACCCTAAACCCTAAACCCTAAACCCTAAACCCTAAACCCAGTGCATCCCCCTCCTTCTAGGTACCATTTAGGGGATGTTTCGTGGGGGGGGGGGGGTCCTTGCAGTGGAGTTCCACCTGAGTCTCCGCTGCTGTGGTGTTTGGATCCCCGGTTGCCAGTCTGTTTGCAGCTTGCTAGTGGGGTTAGGGTTTAGGGTTTAGGGTTTAGGGTTTAGGGTTTAGGGCTCCTAAACCCTAAGCCCTAAACCTTCATGGTTGTTGTGGTGACTGGAGTGGCGTGTGCTTTGAGTAAGTTGTCCCCACCTCGTGCACTTGTGTGAGTTGAACACCTGAAGCCCCAAGCCCGAAACCTGACACCCTAGACATTGTGTTATGAACATCTCCAGGCTTGCAATCCCTAACGCTCAGAACCCTCCCCGAACCCTTCATTGTAGATCAAACGCTCCAAAGCCTCAAACCCCAAATCCTAAACCCCAAATCCTAAACCTCAAACCCTTAACCCCAAACCCTAAACCCCAAACCTGAACTCCAAACCCCAAACCCCAAACTTGAAACCCCAAACCCTGAACCCTTGGTACAGCCTCCTTGGCAGGCAGCTGACAAAGGCCGTGGCCCAACTCCAGGACCAGGTGCGCACTGAGGGAGTCCCAAAGGAGCCGCTTAGACCCCTTGAGGGTTTAGGGCTTTTTGGGTTTTAGGGTTTAGGGTTCTTTAGGTGTTTTTGGGTTTTTAGGTTTTCGGGTAAGGAATATACCTCAAAACATGTTCGGGGATCTCTATCCCCAAGCGCTAAACCCTTCTTGGCAATGAATGGGATTTTGAAAGGCTCTCTGGGCTTTTGGGGTCAGGATACCCCAAGAATCTGCTGTAGGGTTTTTTTGGGGGTTTATAGGGTTTAGGTGCTAGGGATCTGTTCAGGGCTTGGCGACGGACGGATCTCTGGTGGGCTTTCGACAGGAGTTTGCTGCGATCTTCCTAAGCCCTAGGAACCCTAAAAACCCTAAAACCCTAAGCAATCTTGCGCCTTAGTTTCAGATCCAAGAGGCCAATCGCAGCGATACACTCCTCCCCCTATGCCCCAAACCCTAACTCCGATACCCCTAGACGACCGGATCTCGGGTGGACTGTCGATGTGAATTACGGTTTAGGTTTTAGGGTTTGGGGTTTAGGGTTTAGGGTGCCCGAAGCTCCCAAGCCCCTAGCGCTGCACATCCTAAACCCCATGAATCCGGGCGCCTGAACTTCAGACCCAAGAGTCCAAGAACACAAATGCACTCCGCCCCTAGACCCTACCTACACCCCAACTCTTCTATTAGGGTTCAGGGTTTATAGGGTTCATAGGGTTTGTAGGATTTGTTGGGTTTATAGGGTTTATAGGGTTTATGGGGTTTATAGGGTGTATAGGGTTTATAGGGTTTATAGGGTTTACAGGGTTTACAGGGTTTATAGGGTTTACAGGGTTTATAGGGTTTAGGGTTTAGGGTTAACTCTGATACCCTAAGGTCCAACATCCTCTGAGGTTCTAAGGGGACTTACGTTGTCCCTTAATTCGGTCCCTTGCCTTCTTCAAAGGGTTCTGAAGTAAGGGGACCATGGAACTACCCCTAAACCCGAAACCCCTTAGAAGTCAACATACTAACAAGAACCATGTAACTACCCCTAAACCCTAAACCCTAAACCCTAAACCCCTTAGAAGGAAAGGCAAGGCTCCCTTGGCTCTGAGGTAGAAGCCGCCTTCGACCGACTGAAAAGCTCTCGTGCGAGCACCTGACTTGTGCCGCAGGGAGCTAAGTGCGTAGGGTTTAGGGTTTAGGGTTTAGGGTTTAGGGTTTAGGGTTTAGGGTTTAGGGTTTAGGGTTTAGGGTTTAGGGTTTAGGGTTTAGGGTTTAGGGTTTAGGGTTTAGGGTTTAGGGCTTGGGAGGGGTCTAGGGTTCAGCGTGCCTTTAGGCTCTAAGGGTAGTTTCATGGGCCCTTAATATAGTCCCTTACCTCCTTTAAAGTTTGAAGTCTGCTGTATGGGCCCTTGGGTTGTATTGGGTACATAAGGGGTATATGAGGGGTTCCCTTTTAAGGGCCCAGGGTTTAGGGTTCCGGCCGGCTGCAACAGACCTGGTTGCAAAAAAAGGTTTGTGGGTTTAGGGTTGAGGTTTCTTCTTCTGACCCATACCAAACACTTGAGAGAGTCCTGGTGCACAAACGTGTTTGGTTGTGCTACAGGAGTTTCCGAAACTTAGGGGTCCCAGTTCAGGTTTAGGGTTTAGGGTTCAACCCGAAATCCTAACCCGTAACCCCGAAACCCCAAAAAGGAATTTCTCAATTTAGGATGAGTATTTTGGGGTGTGGGAGATAAAGAAGGGTCCCATAGTTGGTGAAATGCCCGTATCATGGGCTAAGCTGCGTGAGAATACCCGAAAGTACAACTCGCACGTATTAGCCAGGGACCTGATCATTAGGTTACTAGAACACTTAAGGACACACAATGGTCCCTGGAAGTATAGGGTGTATGTCCTACGAGAGAATGGACATGCTTTGCCCCGAGTTTGGTTTGTCATCGAGACACTGGTTTCGGTAGACTCGATGGTATGGCTACGTAGCCGCTGCCAGCCGCTCTGACCGCTGCGACACAGGAATTCTGGCTGGGGGCATTACCCTGCACGTTGTACAGCCGAACCAGCTGCAAGATTGCTGGGAGCACTGCAGAGGTTCCCCTCCTGGGCCAGTCATCCCGAACGAAATAGTCTGCTCTTGAATAGTGGCGGCTGTGCCTAGTCCGCAGGAGGCGGAGGCGTGACTCTTCAACCCCAAATCGCAGAAATTGAATTGTGCGAGCTTCGCAGTATTTACCTTAAAGAGGTCACTGTTCCTTCCACCACACTCCATACTCAAAGAACATTGATCTACTATTTGCCCCGGAACCCGCCAAGAAACAAAATACAATCATCCCTATCTTGCCCTTCTGAGGAAGAGTATTCTGTTTTTTGTTTTTTTCGGCATTTCGTAGTTGATGGTGCAGGACTCAGGAGATGTCCAAGTCCAGGGTTTAGGGTTTAGGGTTTAGGGTTTAGGGTTTAGGGTTCAGGGTTCAGGGTTCAGGGTTCAGGGTTCAGGGTGTAGGGTTTAGGGTTTAGGGTTTAGGGACTCAGAGGAGCCCTGACGGAGAGAGCCTGAATCGGGTCATCGGCTCCTCCTCCAAGTATCTGGTTCTTACGAATCCGAGGCTCTGAGTAGCTGTTGCATTGAAACGTTTTGGGTGACCCTAAGCCCTACCCAAAGGCTCCAATGTAGTTCCGTTTTGGTGTAGATATAGGGGATTCTAGTATACTACCCCCAAAAAGGTACTACATAGGAGCCTTTGGGTAAGCCCTAAGCCCTAAACCGGCCTCAATGCCTTACGCCAACAAGGCTTAAGTACTTGGACCGGTTGCCTTAGTGCAGCGGCCGAAACCTTCCTGGTCCGCTTTGTGGTTCAAGGCTCAGTGACTGTTATGCACTAGCCCAACCCACCTGTTAGAGTACCCTTAGTGTCAGCTTTTGTTCAAGGCCCCCTTAGTAGCTACCAATAACCCTAAACCCTAAACCCTAAACCCTAAACCCTAAACCCTAGGACCAAGAAGGTGCCCGGATAACATGCTTGCTGGGCTGCTCATAGACACATCTCGGAGTAGGCCCTTCTTCCCTCCGTTTATAAGGCGTAGGTTCCCTTGGAAGCCCCTTTAAGCCAAAGAGGATACCCTTTCAAATCCTAGGTTACTCTTCGGTCCACCGCTGTTTAATGTAGATGGTGGGTTTAGGGTTTAGGGTTTAGGGTTTAGGGTTTCTCCTCCAGGGTTTCTCTGCCAGGCACCTCTGCGGCTTTAGGGTGTAGGGTTTAGGGTTTCGGGTTTAGGGTTTCTAGGCCCAAACCCGAAGACCCTGAATCTTAAAGCGAGACTCTTCAAGGCCCTCGTACGGGTACTCAGAGCCAGTTTCGACCTTCCAGAAGTTCGGAAACTTCGAACTTCCAGAGCAGTAGATCAGGGCTTCGGCAGATTTGCCTTCTGCTCCTCGACACTTAGTCCCAGTTCCTGGCTCCTACTCGTATTGGTTTAGGGTTTAGGGTTTAGGGTTTAGGGTTTAGGGGTAATTCGGGAAAGGGGAACTCCCACACACTGAGGCTGGGGAGGGCAGACAGGGTCCTTCCTGTCATCCCTCATCAGCCTAGTGGCTGCTCCCCTAAACCCCAAGCCCGAAACCCTAAATCCGATACCCTAAGCTTCACCAGGCCTCGTTCGCAGCACTGCAGTATCAAGTGCGTTTCGCACAGGATAACAGGGAATCCAGCCTGCAGATTCGACCCTAAGATTCGACCCTAAGATCCTCACAGCTCCCAGCCACCACATTGAGCCCAAGTAGTGCGACCCTTTGAGCTTTCCAGACCTCGTAAACCTAGGTAGGTCTGACACGTAGACGGCTCAGAGTTTAGAGAGCTCAGGATACTGGGCTTAATCACCACAGGGCCTGTTGAAGTGCGTAGGCGGCTTGGTAAAAGCCAAGCGGCCTGCGTACACCGGAGGCGCATTCAGCTCCAGAGAGGAAAATGAGTGAACATGATGCCAAGCCAGCTCATCCCTAAGACCTACGGATAGTGTCACGAACGCCAAAAAGGGATCCACATGCACGAGACAAAACTCATTGAGACGCGTTGTCCATGCCCCTCACTCAATATCTTATACACATGTAGCACCTAAAGGGTCCATGTACCCTTAGGCCACCCATGTTGCGAGTGGGTTCCCCATCTGGCTTGTTGCACAAATGCTCGGGCCCATCGACTCTCAAACCGGGATAGTAAAGGCTTCGTCAAGACCTTTTCTACAACCCCCCCCCCCCCCCCCCCAAAAAAAAAAAAAGACAACAAAACATAAACAATGACAAAAACGCCAAAAGACATCGGGCATTCATGAACTTAGGCCGTTTAAGTATTGGAAACATGGCTTTCTAGTCTAGGCACCTCCAAGTGGAGCAGCGCAGGTAGACCTGGAAACAACCCATCCCAACGACTTCGCAGTTCTTGTGGAGGCCGGTCACTCAGGGGTGGCGGTTGACTAGCTACCCCCTTGAATTATTGTCTTTATCCGGAGTTGTGTCTTGTGTTTCTCTAACGCCGCAGAGAGCAACTCGATTTCTGGTGATCGTTCTGAGGGGAGTGTCGACGCACTCCTGCCAAGAACGATTGCGAGCTTCGAACGGGTGAGGACCCTGACAAAAATGCCAACCGAAATCTTGTATTCACTAAGCTTGATAACATGTAATGTATTCGAAGAGGGCATGGGGCTTGTGCAGGTTCGGGTGCTGTTGGTCTCTGGGCCTTACGGCCGTCAGGGTTCAATGTATCATGAGGTCGCTCTCAACCCTGTGCTGCACCTAGACTTCGGGTTAGGGTTTAGGGCTAACACGCTGAACCCAAACACTGACTAACCCGAAGCTGTAAAGCCTCTCTCAGCACCCTAAACCCAAAAACCCGTGTGCAGTGCAGGTGGCAAAAGAAGGCCCCAACCACCCTCGTAACCCCCTAGACCCCAAGCCCCAAACTTAGGCGTGTGTGTGCGGAAGGGGGTGTAGGCCTGAAGAGAACCTCAGACTCTCCCCAGCAATTCCAGTCGTGCCACCAGTCGTTGTGCCAGAAACCCTGCGGAGTGGTCCGTCCAGCTATGCTGCCAAAAAAACCCCAAGCCTCAAACTTGGGATGTTCCCCCCTTATACTCGTTACGAACAGTCCTGAATAGGGACGATAGTAGCCCTTATCGTAGTCCCTATTGAGAACCCCTAAACCATAAAACCCTAGAACCCTAAACCCTAAAACCCAAAACCCTAAACCCTAACCCTGACGGGTGGACATCCCTAAACCCTAACACCCTAGAACCCTAAACCGTAAAACCCTAAACCCTAAACCCTAAACCCTAACCCTGACGGGGGGACATCCCTAAACCCTAAAACCCTAGAACCCTAAACCGTAAAACCCTAAACCCTAAACCCTAAACCCTAAACCCTAAACCCTAAACCCTAAACCCTAAACCCTAAACCCTAAACCCTAAACCCTAAACCCTAACCCTGACGGGGGGACATCCCTAAACCCGAAACCGCCACTGAGGGGCTGCCTCCATCCGCAAAGGAAGAGGCGGCCTGGGAACCAAGAGCTGCTACCTCCATTCCCAGAGAGCCTTCGAGGTTTAGGGTTTAGGGTTTAGGGTTTAGGGTTTAGGGGATATGGACGAGGAACCTTGAACTAGATTGGGGTCTTGAATCTGATTTGAGGTATGCTGAATTCCTTGTCGCTTGCGGGGGGGAATATGGGGGGAAAGGGTCCTTGAAAGGCTTTGGATTTAGGCTGTATAAGGTTTATGGGGATCCGAAACCCCGAGCCCTAAACCCTGAACCCTAAGCTCTAAATCCCTACTTCCCTTCTGTGTTGCTTAGGGCTTGGGTCTCGGGTGCATCGAGGACCATCCGCCCAATTGGGGTTTAGTGTTTAGGGGTTTTCATAGTACTTAATAAGCACTTGGCAGTGACAGAGCTTTGTCCTGGACCTACCGGAGTTCGGACAGCCTGCCTGCAAGATGATGTCCTTAAACCGACAGTTCTGGGTTTTTGTCGACCCGAGATCTAAACAAAGCTGTGAAGCACTCAACTTTCCTGCGAAGGGCTGGTCCATGTCGTTGTTCTGCAGAGGTATATAGCACGCTTGTGGTTTGCGCTGATTGGTTGGTTGAATATGAGGTATGAGGGGCTCCCCCAAACCTGGCTTCTAATTGCGCGCCTCAGGTCCCGGAGTCAAAAACATTGCCCCCCCCCCCCCCCTGGGAACCCCATTGAGTATGGGGATTGGTTGGGTATATTTGCAGCAGTACGGGCTCGGGTTGGGTACCTTTATAAGGGAATCTCAGAATCCCACAAAGCGGAGTGCCACTCTGGAATCCTGCAGGTTCATGTTTCGGCAGATCCGTCCAAGTTGTGTCGTGTTCTCCGAATTTCAGACCGACAGTCCTTGCCCTTACGACCTTCAGAACATCTCAAGTGTCACAGCCCGAAGCCCACATGTAGGTGGAATGCAAGTTCCACTCCTGAGTATCGCAAGTGCTGTTATAAGGGCTTGTAAGCAGACAGGCATGTGTTCGTGCGACCAACCCTTCCTGGAGCCATGCAGAAGTGGTATACTGGGTTTTGGAGTACTATACTTTAATACTTTTTTATGGTTCTGGGTTCCTATTATAGTTACTCATACCTAAATAGTATATACTTTTTTCCAGGGTCTACTCCAAAGGTGGGTATATGACCCAAAGGAACCCTAAACCCGAAACAAAGACCCAGGCAGACCTCCTAAACCATCGGAAGCCTCGATGTGCCATGTCCCACACGACGTTTCGACCGGGTTGAAGAGTCCGTAACATCTTCTTGGACGTTTAGGGTTTAGGGTTTAGGGTTTAGGGTTTAGGGTTTAGGGTTTAGGGTTTGCTTGCGTGCCGGCGATGTCCATGTGTAAAGCCGAGCACTTGCAGCTTCCTAGGACATCCGGGAGTTCTTTCAGAAGAACGCCATCAAAGGACGATCCAACGTGGAGGTCTCTCAGGGGTCCTTTGGCAAAGCTGCTGTGAAGGGGAGCCAGTGTGGTAGTGTGCGATACCCTAAACCCTGAACCCAAAACCCTAAATATTGGCTGCAAGGGCCGATCTTGTACACGTCCAGAACAAAGCTTGATATTGTGTTCTGATTCCGGGATGGGTTATTAGGCCCTGTGATCCCCATACTCAACCCCATGAAGGGCTATTAAGGGGGGGGGGGGGTTAGAGGGTGTAATAGCCCGTCCTTGTTTGCTCAGATGATGGCCATCGATGACATGGCGACCCTGACCCTAAACCCTAATTAAACCCTAAACCCACAACCCATTGTATCTTCGAGCCGACTCCTGGCCGAAGTTGACAGCCCAAATCGCAGGTCGTGAAGGTGGTGATTGGCTGGAACCTCACGCAGTTTGAGAAAACGCCACCTGCCCAGCAGCTTTTCTACAGATGTCTATGCCGGGTGCGTAAGTAGGCTTATTTTAGGCCTTCAATTCCCCTTAGAGTGTATATGGTTGTTGGCTTCGGCCTTTTTTTGATGCCCTCGCGCAGCAGCATGCTTCTAGCATCATTCGGGCATGCCCGAAACCCTAGACCCGAAAACCCTAAACCCTAAACCCAGAAACAAAAAAAAACCACCACCCCCCCCCCAAAAAAAAAAAAAAACCTAATTTAATTCTCCGGCCAACCCTAAACCCTAAACCGAAGCCCAGGCCCCAAGAGTTCATCGATAAGGCCCCTGGATCCCTGACCCCCAAGACGTCCCAAAAAGCCAAAAACCCTAAGAGCTCACGAAATTAAGGGTAGTGAAAGGGTTCAGGGTTTAGGGTTTAGGGTTAGGGTTTAGGGTTTAGGGGTTAGGGTTTAGGGTTTAGGGTTTAGGTTTTAGGGTTTAGGGTTTAGGTTTTAGGGTTTAGGTTTTAGGGTTTAGGGTTTAGGGTTTAGGGTTTAGGGGCCCTGGGTTGGGTTTTATAGGGTATATACGGGGTATTTAAGGTTTTGTTTTTGTTTTTCTTCTGAGGTCGCCTTTTCAGGGCTCATGCTACAGGCATCATGTAGCTACCCTAAGAAATTAAGGATATGTCAGATATGTGCCTTTGATCATATCAAGGATTCTTTATGTAGATTTAGGCAAACTCCTTAAATTGAGGGGTATAGGGGTGGTTTACAGCCTCTTCCCGAAATGCTCCCAATAATGTACCCCTACTATCGTAAACGGCCATAAGCCCGAAACCCTAAACCCTAAACCCTACACCCTAACCCTAAACCCTAAACCCTAAACCCTATAAACCCTGAAACCCCATAAAAGGGCTCTTTGGGTCAAGCCCTTAGCACCCGAAGCCACACCTACGGTGAGGGCCAGCGAGCTGAAGGGCCTTCGAGAGGAGAGACGCAAGTTGAGGCCGGTTAGTAGGGTTCAGGGTTTAGGGTCTAGGGTTTAGGGTTTAGGGGTTAGGGTTAGGGGATGTTCAGCACTTCGGGAGCTGATCGCTTAGGGGCAGTCTTGGGCGCGCCCGTGCTCGCAAAGGCATCGATGGAACTCACGCCATGTTGTCTACCCTGCGCGGTCGTGGAACACTAGCTTTTTTCGGTGGTCATGCACATGCTTAGGGCTCAGCGCTGAATTAGGGCTTAGGGCTTAAGGCTTAGAGCTTAGCGCTTAGCGCTTAGGGCTTAGGTCTTAGGGCTTAGGGTTTAGGGCTTAGGGTTTAGTCAGGATGTCCTGGTGCACTCAGGGGTCTTTGGGAGGTCTGAGGCTTGGGCTTTTTGCTGCTTAGAGCTTTCAGTGCTGTCTGTCTCAAGAAGTACTTGGGGGTTCATGGTACATATTCACCAAGCATAAAACTGTACTTATCCCAAACCCCAACCCCCAAACCCCAAACCCCAACCCCCAAACCCTAAACCCAATACCCTAAACCCTAAACAAGCCCTGAATCCTAAAGGGCTTTCAGGTGAGCCCTGAACCCCTCAGCCCCCAGTTCCAGCAAGCACGGAGCCCCAGCCGACCAGGGCGAACGGGGAGCCCTGTGACCAGGTCCCGGAGGGAGGGGGGTTTAGACCCTAGGGTTTGGGGTTTGGGGTTTAGGGTTTAGGGTTTAGGGTTTGGGGTTTAGGGTTTGGGGTTTGGGGTTTGGGGTTTAGGGTTTGGGGTTTGGGGTTTGGGTTTGGGGTTTGGGGTTTGGGGTTTAGCGTTTGGGGTTTGGGGGAGAGGGGGTTGCGCTTCAACAAGCAGAGATGCTTTGGGGGAATTGGAGTTGATGGCGCCGGTTGCACTTGGGCTGCCGTCTGTGGCCTTTCACTTGGCCTCAGCCTGGGGTGGAAAGGGACAACAAGCAGTTCCGAAGTGGAGTTTTACGTAGGTAATCCCAACTATAGAGGGTCTTTTTTACACATAACTCTGTACGTCCCTCGATCCAGGGTACAGGGTGGCGTTTTAGGGTTTAGGGTTTACTGCTGGACGGTCTGTGGTCAACTGTGGGTTGACGATGGTGAAGCATTGTAGGGTCACGGGCTGTAGTCATGTGGTTCCTACTACCCTCCTCTATACTACCCCCGCCCCCCCCTAGGTTCCCCCCCTTAAATATCCTCATTTAGGCTTAGTTATCCCAAAATAGCATTCATCGTGGGGGGAACCTACGGGGGGCAGTAGGGAGGGGGGTAGTGGGGGAACCCAATGCTGGGTTCTTGGCCGTTCTTTGGCTTCTTCGTGGCTGTATTTCTTGCCAGACCAGAAAGGGAATAAACCCTAGACCCTAAACCCTAAAGACGTATTCTTGCCTGCATCTTAGATCAACGCACATCTTTTCCTTGGGTGCCAGGTCACGATGCGCATCGAGGCGGAGCCGTAGCAGGGAGAGTGCTGCACCTTTTGCGGAAGAAGTTTTTTAGTCGCGCAAAGAGTCTGGGTTCAAACAGGGTTTAGGGTGAAGGGTATAGGGTTCCCGAAGGATCCATGGACCTATATAGTATATACTTGGGCCTTAAAGGGATTCCTATATAGTAGCTTTAGGGCCCAAGTATATACTATACAGGTACATGGATCCTTTGGGGTTTAGGGAGCACCAGGAGATGCAGAAAACTCAGAGGCCCCTAACTGCCATGGGATGCTGATCCCTCCCGGGCCTCAGATGATGTCTGTATATGAACTCTGAACGAGGTAGGCACTTGGGATATTTGACATGCACAAAGAGCCAAATACCCCCCCTAAACAAGACCGAATATCCCTAAATGATATAGGAAGGTCCTTGAGAAACGTTAAGGTGTTTTCTTTGATTGAGGGGCTTATGAAGGGCTCCTTGTGTTTCCCTTCGTGGCTTTAAGAGGAGCATAGGGTGTCAACCTTTAACCTGTTTGCTTGTATGGTGAGTTCTCAAGATGATTGTTGAGTACTGTACCCTAAACCAGAGGGGCCGCCTTATAACAAGGACCCTGAAAGGGACCCTAGTATAGATAAATCGCCCCTATGACACAAAAAGGTTAACCTTTTGTGGGCTAGGGTATTCAGCCCCGGAGTAACTAGCACTGCTTTCATTAGTTTTTCCAACGCCCTGGAAAAACACATCTGGGTCACAAATGTTGCTTTATGTGGGCCCTAAAGTTTTTGTCAAGGGAACAGTAGGTTCTGGAGGTGTCCAAAGAGCCCAAATGTACCTCGAAGCGTATGAAGGGTGCCCATATCATCTAAGGTATAATCCCCAACTAACGGGCATTGAGCTCATTGGGTTCTATATACCCTTTTTGCATAATATGTCTCTCTCTATATATATATATATTCTATACATAATATATCTATATATATATATATTATGATTATGATTATTATTATTATTATTATTATTATATATATAGATATCCTGAGAGCGACAGGCCTTGAGCCGCAAGTCTCTCCACCCTGGCGGCTCAAGACCAAGACAAGACAGCTGTGGTCCCAGAGGGACGGCACAGACTGGAAGATTCATTCGCCATCGACCTACGCACTGCACCTGGGCACCACAGAACTTTTTTTTATATATTTTGTTCTTTGTTTTTTGCTGGGGCTGGGGGGGAGGTTAAGGCTTGGGTGGTTTTGGGTTTCAGGTTTCTGGGATTTTCTGAGAACCGTGGGGCGGCTTTGGGGGTGTGAGGTGCGAGGTTAACGTTTGGGGCGCATTGCTAAGCTGCCTGTGTGGGGTTTCCGGGATTAACATGACGTTGAGGGTCCCAAACGTCCTTGCGGCCAGAGTCTCTGTGAGAAGAGGGTTTAGGGGGTTTAGGGTTTAGGGTTTAGGGTTTAGGGTTTAGGGCTAGTTCTTACCGCGAGCTCAGAAGCTTGTCTTGGCTTCATGTTTCGCAGATGTGCTCCTGCACGCCGTATCCCCCACCCCACTCAAATGCAGCAACTCCTCGTCCAAATCTCCGCAAATTCTCCTAAACCCTAAACTCTAAACCCTAAACCCTAGCTTGTGAGATGCCTTATACCTGGCGTCATCTGCCGCGCCCGCATCTGTTATCTCCCGTCCAACCCTTGATCCTATAGATACCCAAAGGCTCCTATGTAGTACCTTTTTGGGGGCGGTATACTAGAATCCCCCATAACTAACCCAAAAAGGAACTACATTGTAGCCTTTGGGTATACTCAACAGCCCAGTGGGGTCCCCTCCTGCCCGGTTTTTGTTCTGGGTTCCCTTACGAAGTAACCAACCCCAAGACGGGTACCCTTATTCCAATATGGTGCTGGGCTGCCAAGTCCAAACTTCCCAGCGTGCGTTGAGACGTCGGGCTCGATACAGGGATACCTAGAAATTCCGGGGGATGTTATGTGGCACCGAGTTAACAGTTCCCTGCTCAGAAAAGGTACGAAAGATGGCCGGGTACGCGTTGTAAAGGATTTAGCTGTGCCTGTTTGAGGCCAAATCTCTCTTGGGATCTGACCAGAGAATTGGGATGTTCCTATACCAACAGTCCTTTATAGGGATTGTAGTAGGGGGGAGGGGGGGGGGCACTATAATCCCGTTTAAAGATCGTTAGTATAAGGGGAACATCCCAAAATTTACCTAGATTTGCTAAAGCCCGTCGAAGGACAGCCATCATCCGAACCCCTTCCCGTCACCTCAGTTTGGGGCGGGACGCGGAGGCCCAGCCAATATTCGGGCGCCCAGATCCACCCTAAACCCGAAACCCAAAACCCTAAAAAGGAACCCAAAACCCTAAACCCTAAACCCATGGAGGCCGGGATAGGTGTTCCTAGCTATTTTGGGGCCACCCTTGGGTCTCCCTAGGACAGGCCCCGTGTAATTAGGTTTCGGATGCGTTCAGTCCCCTTCGCAAAACCCTAAGCCTACTAAGCCTTCTGATTGCTTACGTGGACCTGGGAGAGTCAGAGGGCGGAACCCGAGGCGAAGCAACCATGGCGTGGGGAAATCGCATCATACCTCGCGAGCTCACTATGCGGGACGTAATCACATGGTCCGCCACCATCGAGAAGGAGCCCCGATTGAAAGTGAAGGATTGACATGTTTTTGGTTTTGTGGGTTTAGGGTTTAGGGGTTCAGGGTTTGGGGGTTCAGGGTTTAGGGTTTAGGGTGTTTTTCTTCAACAGTGAGTCTGGTCTCTAGCTGTCGCAGCTTCATTCTGCAAGCTTGCCAGCTGCAAGGAGGAGTGAGGCCGACAGGGGCCCCCGAAAGAAAGGGAAGGCAAGCTTTGAAGAAAATCACCCAACACTAGCACTCTCGTGACGCGTGGGCTTGAGAGGTCGCTTTCGGATGCCCAGTGGTACCCCTTTTTTGGTTCAAGGTTCCCCCCATAAAGTAGTCAACCCCCAGAAGGGTACCCTTACTAGAATGTGGTTGCTGGTCTGCCTACAAGCGGAATGAAGTGTCCGTCCATTCCCAGGAGGAGCGCGTGATGGTCAAAGCCTATGAGCAGGAGTTTGGGATGCGAAAAGATTGGTATGACAGCTGATCGCCCTTCTTCTCAACCCTAAACCCTAAACCCGAAACCCTAAACCCTAAACCCTAACGCCTTTTTGGGCGTAGGCGGCTCGCAGTCTGTTGCTTGGCTCCGAGGGATTACGGCAGCTGCATGATTGACTGGCACCAACGGAGCTCTTGATACCCCTTCAGTGAGGAATATACCTTAATCATCTGGTCACTTCACAAAATGTTGGTCCCTTCTGGGGTTACTAATGTGATGCGGCCCCCTAATACCTAGGGTGTATTAGGGTAGCCAAAAAGGGACCATATGGGGATCCTTAATATGATCTAAGGTATATATTCCTTAAGGATAGGGGTACAAAGGGCTCGCTGGGGAGCCTACAAGCTTACTAGCACTGAGCAGGCGCAAAGTCCGAGACGGGATGAGACACGCAGCGAGGAAGTGTTCCTTCGAGGCTCTACTTCAATACCTTTACACACCATAAACAATATACCCTAAGTCCGAAGGAGTCAGCCTTTTAACAATAAAAACCCTAAGTCCGAAGGAGTCAGCCCTGACCCCCCCTTGAAAAGTTAAAGCCCTTTAGTTCCTCTAAACTGGGTTTTGGAGTACTATACTTTAATACTTTTTATGGTTCTGGGTTCCTAGTATAGTTACTTATACCTAAAAAGTGTATACTTTTTTTCCAGGGTCTACTCCAAAGGTGGGTAAAGAACTGCTAAAGCCAGGAGCGCGAGGCTCATCGCCAGGCAAAGAGGCGGCAGCAGAAGAAGCTGCTTCGGGAAGAGGCCTTTGTAGTTCTCAGGTCGACAGCGGTGCTTCAGGTGCTGGACGTTGCGTTTGGCTCTGTGTTTTTTTTGTGTTCTTGTTTTGGAAGGAGGGGGGGGGGGGGGGGGAGGTTGAGGTCAAGGGTCTGGGAATCAGCGCTCCCTCTTCGAGGACCTGAAGGTCTAAAAGGACAGCTCTGCAACAGAGGCCCAGCAGAAAGGCCATGCTCTGTAGGTCTTTAGGGCCTTAGGATTTAGGTTCAGGGTCTCGGGTTTGGCTTACAGTATTGTGGAGACGAAGCCTCCACCCCCTGACCATGCGCTGTCAGCGGGCAAGCCGCGCCAGTCCCCGAAGAAGCTTATATGATAGAAGAAGGGAGTCCTAGAAGCGACCCTCAATCTTATTCCCCCCTATACCCCCCTAAAGATACCTGACATATATATATACATGTATATAAATATGTATGTAGTCTCTACATACCCCTAAAGAGCCCCTCAAGAGCCCTTTAAAGAACCCCCTAAGGTCCCTTGTAAGGGCCCCTCCTTTAGTCCCTTGATTCGGCCGGCCTCGGATGGACATGCCGGGACCCCTGTACCCATGTAGAGGACCAGCGAAGACGTCGCCACCGTGGTGCCGCACTGCTAGACGAGGCAAGGCTGTGGGCAGCCACCTCTTTTTTTCTATAACCCCCTTTAGTAAATATTTTTAAATGTGTATTTGTACAAAACCCAAGGGAATCTTAGCAGGAGGTTTTCGTTAAGGTTCTAAGCAACATGTATAGTTCTTTCCGTCATGGGAAGCCCTTGAGCTGATGGTTCGAACCCCTCTTCGAAACTCTGCAGATCCAGATGCCCCTAGACCATCCTAAGCCGCTTTGCTACGAAAAGGGTTTAGGGCTGAGGGTTCAGGGTTCAGGGTTCACGGGTGAGGGTTCAGGGGTGAGGGTTGAGGGTTGAGGGTTGAGGGTTGAGGGTTGAGGGTTGAGGGTTAGGGTCTCAGAGCAAGTGAGCAAGTCCTAAACATGACATGCTTTCCATAAGCCCAGGTTTTGGAGTACCATACTTTAATACTTTTGTCTTTTACTTGTCCCTTAAAGGAGCCGTTGTGAAATGAAGGGCTATACTTTTTGCTCTCTGGTTACTTCAAAGTCCAGAAACCCTAAACCCTC